GAAGGACCTTTCAGTTTGTCAAATTCCTTAATTAGAGAGCTGCACATACTAGAAGATGCGTTTTCTTGCTCTGCTTCCCGCCCCCACCAACAATTTTACCATGAGGGAATGTTTACCAGAGTGTAACGAACAGTTTCCGATGGCTGCATTTTTGCTAAAGTTCTATTTTTTTTTTCTTCTTGCTGATAGTCCTGTCTTGAAAAGTCGTATCTTCAGCACAAAACGCTGAAGCCCTTAACAACATTATATGCGCTCATTAGGAAGTCAGCTCTCTTATAGCCCTTTCTCCTCCTCGCTGGCAAAACCGATCTCTTTCTCCATTTACACTGTTACCAGCCAGCCAGCAAGCTCTGCCCTGCTCCCTGGTGCCACTGCGCTGAGAGATCTTCCTTCCAGCAGCTACCATTTTTTATCCCTTTCTTTCTTCCGTGCCAGTGATTTATTTCCCTGCCTGTCCTCAGATCAAGCGCTGGATTCGGCGGGAGCCCAACAGGCGAAAGCGCCACCGTTTGCACCTCCCGACTCCCGAACCGAGGGCATCCGCCGCGGGAGCGGGCAGGGCGCCTTTCCCCGCTCCTGTCCCGGCGCTGATGGCACTTGCTTCTCCCGAGGTCTTTGGCATCCACCTACGAAACAAGCTCCAGCTATGTCGTTGCTGTTACCGTACTATAACTGTGCCCCTCGAGGAGAATATTTACAGAAATTAAATGCCTTGTTTTACAGCTGCAATTCTTCTGTAAACACTGAGCTGATTTTAAAAGAGATGAACCCCCCTCAACCCCCATAAGCTCTTCAGGAAAATGCAACAAATTCACATAATTCTTTTTTTGCCTTGAGCTGAGCTGAGCTGAGCACAGCAGAGAAGTCCTCTGAGGATGAGGAGGGGAGCTCTGCGGGATGGGCTCTCTGCCTGCGTGCTTTGGCTTCTCCTGTCGCTGCACAATTTCATCCCTGGAAGAGATTCAGGGTCTGGCTGGAATCTATCAAGCTGTCAGAACGGATAGAGACAGTCTGTGGAAATGCTCAGAGAAGGGTACTCCCACTGTATTTTTAAAAACCCCGAACAATTAAAGCCTAGGCTGAAATTAAAAAGTCAATACTAGGTTGCCTGCCTAGAGGTGGAGGGAACCTGATTCAAGTGTTACAGCCGCTGTCTCACAAAGCCTGACTCAGAGAGAGCTCAGATCAGAATACAGCTCCATGAATTGGATTCCGGGGGATATTTGATGCTGGAGGACGGGGAGGGAGGGAAGCACCCCCTGTTTCCTCACCCTGCTGCTCCCCGGAGTGCAGAACAGCTCGGTGCCGCGCAGACTTTTGCGGATGTTTCCTATGACATCGGTCCTGTATACGTTCGGTAACCTTTGGCTTTTCCACGTGTTTTTCACTAAATCACAGCCCTGTCTCTCAGGGACGGTCAGGAAGGAGATGAAAGGCCTTCATCCCTATGTTCTTATCACGAAAACCATGGGGAAAAAAGGATCACAGTGACTCGAGCACATCAATTTATAAATAAATCCCTGGGTGTGTTTACACATAAACATACTCGGGTGCATGTGTACGGACTCACAGGCAAACCCGCATCCTTGCTGCCTCTGAGGTGCCTGTGACCCTTACGGATACTGTGGCTGTACACAGTTGCACGCAGCCCTGCCTACAGCCAGAGGAGCAGCCTCCAGGCAGTGGGACCTCCTGGACATCCCTTCCGCGGGTGCCTCGGGGGTACCGGGCAGCCGGAGGCAGAGCCCCTGTTCCCCCGCCCTGCCTGGGCCGCCTTTTTCTCCTCAGGGAGGGGCCAAGGTTTGGCTCGGCAGAGGCAAACACGAGTTGCCCCGGCAGGGCTGTGCCAGCAAACCCGCCCGGTCTCCCGCTCCGAAAGCTGGGGCAGCGCTGCCGGCTGGCGCGGGGATGCCCTTTCCTTTTTGTATTTAAATATCGTGGCTCTCTCGGGGCGGAGGCACGTCAGGGCTGGGCTTTTCCCTTTTCCTCCGGCCCTTAGCCAACCGTAGTTGCTGCGAAATTATATCAGGGGCTTTTACGGCCTCAGCGGCGGCCACTCGGCACCACTGCTGTGCCCGTGCCCCGCACAGCGCCACGCACCACCGTGCCCGCCGCTCTTTGTCTTGCCAGAATACGAACGTCGGGCACCCGGCGGTGCGGGAGGAGACTGGGAACAGAGGGCTCTGTCAATGTCCTCTGAACCAGATCTTCCACTTTCCAGGAGCGGTATGTACGGGCAAACCCGCCCTAGAGAACCGACTTCAGTTCTGATCTGAGACTTCAGCAGTATCTGGTGTTAAGATTCGTAGCTCTGCTTTCCAGGCCAGCCGAGCCTCGCATGTCGCATACCGAGCTCTGTTCAAAGCTGGAAATGGGGCACCATGCCCAGAAGCCTCAGGGGACACTCCCCGTTTCCCCTCCCCACCCAGCCAGCCCCACGGCGGGTGGGAAGGTGCCCGCATAAGTGCCCAGCGCGATCAGGCGGCGGGAGCGCGACCTTTCCCACCGCCACGAAGAAGCCCACAGGCAGCGCCAGGCATTCCCGCACCCAGGGGGACACCCGGCTCAGCATCACTGTACAGACACGGTCGTGTCTGTATCGCCCCGCGGCTGCCGAGCTCTGCCGGGCTCCTCTGCGGGGACACGGGCAGTGCCTCCGGCCGGGTACCCGCCCCGTCGGGACCGTGGCTGCTTTGCAGAGGAGAGTGGAGAGGGTGAGAGCAGCAGGCGGTCACCAGCTCTCCGTCATCACATTGGCACAGAGTAGCTTCTGCAAACAAAGGCACAGGCTCTTTTCTGTCTGACTGTGATGGGATTAAACATCGTCTTTCTGATAATTGACGGTAGAGTTTAGAAATCGCTCACCTGATTATTAATTTTCTCACCACGTTTTGGGTTACTGCACCCCGATGACCTCACACACGGGACAGTGACAGTGTGGAGGCCAGGCCTGAGCTCTGGAGGTTGCCTCTCTCTGTGGCCCCACAAGCACAGAGTCCACAGCACTGGCAGGATGCTCTGCGGTGCCAGGGCTGCTAGGGCACGGCTGACATACAGACGGACAGACAGACGAATGGGCCGGGCAATTGGTGGCTATGGACGTGGAGCAGCTTTGGGTTAAAAACACGGACTGACAGCGTGGTTTGGGTTGGAAGGAGCCTTTAAAGAGCAGCCAGTCAGGGCCGTGGCATCTTCTACTAGATAGGCAGGCCCGAGCAGGGGGTACAGCCCTCGGCCATCCCTGTTGCAGCAGGACGGCATCCCAAAAAAACCTCATTTCTCAGATGTCAGCCTGGCCTGAGCAGGCAGTGGTGTCTGCCTGAGACTTGCATTTCCTCTCTCTGCCTCCCTTCCCCTCTGGGGGCCCGTTCATTCGGCTAAAATCACCCAAGGAAGTTTTTTCATGGGGTTTTTCACTCCAATGTAACCCCCAGCGTTTCTAAACCCGAAAGCAAGCTGGACACGAGAAACCTGAGGCTTGCTGCCCTTCCCTCCGAAGGGAACCCCAGGGCCAGGGCTCTCGCCACTGCCCACCACTGCCAGTCCTTGTCCCCGGCAGTTGCCACGCTGGCAGCCCCGCAGAGACACATTAGACTGGTCATTTTCTGAGTCTCCTTTATTTCCTCAGTTTCTCCCTGAAATCTTTATAAATCCCCCTTTTCCAGGGGGAGTGTCCAGGCGGGTGGAAGTCTGAGCACAATGAAACCTGAGAATTTCTGTCACTCTCTGCATATGGTCCGAAGTGCTTTAATCCCAATTAGGGGCGGCTGACACACGGTCCTATTCATCCCAATCAGCTCTTGAATACATTTGCCTAGAAATGAACTTCACAAATAGACTTTCTCCTAAATGTGCCCAACAGCAAGGAAAATCGAATTGAGTCAGGGGCTCATTCTGAGGCGATCGAGGGAGAAAAGGTATGAATTTATAAGGTACACCGAAACATTGCAATTCAGCAACAAGTTTACTGACTTTTATTTGCACCATGTCAACCGAAAGAACCAAGAGATACTGTGGGGGTTGCGGGAGAAGGGGAGTACGGTTAAAAGGCAACTTTAGACAGACTTTGAATACTTTATGCCGCAAGCTTCGCCTCCAATTGAAGTTGAGCTAAAAAGAAAAAAAAATCTCAGCCCCTACACTGGAATTTTTAACGAGCACAAAACGTGTTTGGATCCGATCTGGGCTGACGCTCGCGATTAACAATACGAATACCAAATCGAGCTCCTGTCATCTGCCCGGATTCCCATAGAACCTGAATTACTATTCAAAAGCTCCTTTAATATCCCACCCGCATCTCGTCTGCACCGCACAGCTGGTTGGGGGCCGCCGGCCCGGCCGCAGCCGCTCGGCCCCGCCGGTCGGCACCGGGCACCGGGCACCGGGCACCGAGCACCGGGCACCGGGCACCGGCAGCGCCCGGAGGGGCGGCAGCGGCTGCTGCGGGCGGCGTCACGGGAGAGGAATGGAAGTGAGGGGAAGGGAGAGAGGAGAGGAAATTGTGGTAGAGAGAAGGGGGTTTGAGAAAGAGCGGCTGAAGCTAGAGAAGGTGAGCGAGATCGAGGAAAAGGTACGCGGAAATTGCAGAAGAGAGAGAAGGGGAAAGGCAGGGAACAAGGGAAGGGAAGGGAAGGGAAGGGAAGGGAAGGGAAGGGAAGGGAAGGGAAGGGAAGGGAAGGGAAGGGAAGGGAAGGGAAGGGAAGGGAAGGGAAGGGAAGGGAAGGGAAGGGAAGGGAAGGGAAGGGAAGGGAAGGGAAGGGAAGGGAAGGGCAAAGAGGAAGAAGAAGGGAAAAGGGGAGAAAGAGGGAAAAGGGGAGAAAGAGAAAGGAAGAAAAGGGGGAAAAGAGAAACAGAGAAAAGTGTGAAAATTTTATTTAAAAATAAAAGAAAGTAAAAGGGAAAAAAGCGAAAAGAAAAAGATGTTGAGACCATTTTGGTCTCTTCGGTTTAAAGAGGATTTCCGTGTTTCAGGGTCTCAGCAAGCCTCCTCCCTGCCCTCTGCCCCGTGCCTTGCATCCCTATCCACCTGCCGGAGTCTCGGGCCAGCTCAGGCAGGGCCGGGAGCCTCGGGCCGTCCCGTCTCGCAGCCCGGGGAAGGGCAGCCCTGTCGGGGCAAAGCCATTTGGGAAAAAGGTCACCCCGGGAGCCGCCGGCTGGGCCGCCCCGCCGGAGTATGGCCTGCTGAATGAACTTGCAGCATTTTGTTCCAGCCTCCGCTGCGATGCTCTGCGGCATAATGAGCCGGGCCCTGTATACAGGCATTCATGCTGGTCTGAATGTGGTGTTGAACCTTCTCTGTGCCGGAGCGGTTTGATGGTTTGAATGGAGCTCCCTGGTGGGACATTGCTCTCTGCAACTGTGCCTCTTTGGATGACTGTTGTTCCTTAACATTCATGCCTCATTATGGGGCAACCTGTTAAATCAGGGAGAACAGTGTGCCAAAGTGTTACTCAGGGGCACCGGCAGTTCAGCGGTGGGCATAAATAAGGGCCGCCAAGGAAAATAACTTTCATCGCATCTCTGGGCAAAAGTGATCTCTCTTTAATGGTGCCTCTAGTAGCCCGGTTTAAGTATATAAAGAGCGATAGTGGAATGTTTTGATTGAGTCTAAACATTGTCTTTGAATAAAGCTGAAACCATGTAATTAATGTGTCTTTTTAATAAGGGACAATACGGTCGTTCAAGCTATTTAATTTCATTTAATTTTCCATCCCATTTGCTCCAAAGGCTGCTTTTACTTTTAACACCCGGCCTTTCATGCTGCATCTTGCTCCAGTGGGCACATTAGATCGGTTTCACCCTTCCTTTTTAGGGAAGGAAAAATAAAAGAAAATGTGGTTCCTTTCCTCTTTTGTGGACAATTTATTTCACTTGGGGAACTTCAACTTTGAGCCACAGGACAGAATAAAAATTGGAGAACTGGTGTGAATGCTTCCAGAGCAAGGGCTTTTCTTTTCTGAGTGGATGGGAACCAGCCACAATCGGCTATATTAATAAATAACTTTCCTCACAGTCGGCCTTTACATGGTCCTATTGATAAAATTGTTCGCGTGTCGTTCACGCTTTTTGACTCATTAAGGCCTGGGAGGGAGCGGCTCCCGAGGCGGAGCAGTAGGGTACCTTGGTCGCCTTAAAGGCCCTCTCTCTACCTCTGCGGCTCGCGGAATTTCAAGCCGGTCTCATCCTCGAGTGGCCAGGCCAGAGGTTACAGGGACATGTTCATGGCTTAAATTTATTGCCCTCTACTTCTTGTTTATCCTTTTCCCCCCCATTCATGCCGCTGATCAAAGGGGTCATCTTCAGTTCCCCACATCCTCTCCCCCCTCCTCTTGCCAGCCCTGCCGAAGTGCAAACGAACCCATCCCTGCTGCCGGGACGGTCCCTGGCGTTGCACCCCGGAGAGAAGCGATCGATGGTCACTGATGCTGCAGGGGGAAGGCGCGGGGTGGGGCGGGCGCGACATTTATCCCTGGCGCTCACCAATACGGACCAGTACTGAAAATCCACTCGCAGCCTGCGCGGACTCGGTGCCGGCCAGCAGCCCCCGGAGCGGGCGGTGGCAGCGCCCCGTCCCGTCCTTGTCCCCGTCCCTTCCCGGTGCCGCCCGTCCGGGGCAGCTCCGCGCCCGCGGGCAGCGCCAAGGGGAGCCAAGCAGCCCTCGGGAACCCAGAGCTCCGCCGCTCTGCAGCGGCGCTGACACTTCGGGGCTCGCCCCGGCCGTGGCAGCGGCCCCGGTGCCCCGGGAAGGCGGCGGCGGCGGCCCCGGGCGGGCTGGCAGCGCTGTGCCGCGGCGAGGGGGGCCAGCCAGGGCAAATATCATCGCAGCAGCCGCGGTGACCTGCCGGGCTGAGCTTTCAGTGCTCTCCGGCGCGGTGAAGGGCAGGGAGAGAGGAAAGAAGAATTCTGCGGCCGCCAGCTGGTGAGAGGTGCCGGTTCGGAATCGCTCTCGCTCCCCGTGCGCGTCCCTGTGGCCTTTGCTCTCACGGTGCCACTCGTGACGGCGGCGAACAAATCCACAGTAAAGCTCCCACGCACAACCGCACCGAAAGCGACGTGCCAAGGTTCATCTTGCAGAAAGCGGGTTACTTGAGAAGAGCCCGCTCAGTTACCTGGCATCTGTTGGCAGATGTACCTCTAAGCGTAGCTTTTTGGCTTCCCCTTGAAATTTATTAGGGCTGACTATTACAAAAACGCCACGGGGGGGAAAAAAAGGAAAAAATAAAAGAAAAAAGAAGAAGAAGAAAAAAAAGGGTTCCATCTCTGCCATTGTTTCCGAAAGCAGTGGATAAAATGTCATGTGCAACTTTGCAACTTCTCCAAAGGAGAAAGGTTTAGAAATCTTTTTGGAGTGTTATGAGGCATGGAGCAGAGAAAACCCACCAGCTAGAATTAGATAGGAGTATAAAAGTGAAAGTGGAAGATTGAATTTGTTAGTGTCCCTCTTGGTCGGACAGGCACATCTGAACTGTTGTATGCACTTAAGGAAAAAAGTCGCACACTTTTCCTTGTCAGCTCCCGGAAAATTCCTGGGACATTTATCCAGCCTGAATTATAAGATGACTTAATCCTAGCACTTCATTGCATCTTAATTAAAATATTTTTGCGAAGAGGAGGGACATAGGCACACACTCTGTTCAAATATCTTCGTTCTGACTCTATTTACAGTTGCTTTTTGCAGGTACTACCTCCTAAAGCGGTTTCGGTGCAAGAGATTTAGCGCGTGGGCAAGGAACTTGTGGATGCATTAAAGGAGGAATCCAGATGCACATTGTTTGCTAGATATCTGTATTATCTGCTGGCCGTGCCTGCCTGTTTCCTGGTGGCTGTATGTCTCTATTTCTTCCTGTCTCTATTTCTTAATCGCTCGAACTACAGACACATCTTTCCCAGCGCTCGCAGGTGCAGCGGTTTGTGTTTTACAGGGGCTACGGCGGCTCATATTTTGTGCTATTCATCCTCCTTGAGGATCAAAGCTCTTCTGAAACAGATTACTGGCCTGAAACCAAACCACTGAAATGGTAATATGGTCGTTCTTAAAAAAAAGTGTAGGTATTTTCTGGTGTTTTCCCATCAAGTACCTGCCCAATTTCTGTATGGCACACGCCGGGAATCAATAGAAGTTAACAAGTCCTCAAAACATTCCCCATCTCTTTGTTTAATCTCCTTTACAATAAAGCCAAGGGAAGAGAATTAAAAATCTTTGAAGTATATTAAACCTCAAAAGGCTCAGCCAAGTAGACTTAAAATAGTCACTTATTTTCCAAAACTGGTTTGTCGAGGAACAATAAAAGGAAGTAAAATTTATGGAGAAATTATACAGTGGATTTGTCACTTAAAATATCGTAACTGTCTCGGGGACAATACCCCATGCTGAGGATTAATGGTCCCTCCAGACCTTTGATTCACCAGCGCCTTTTCTTTGCCCTTGACAAATTGGATTTTTAGGAATGGGAAGGTCGCCTGGCCCATTGTCTGCCAGCCATTCACTCAGCCTGATTATGCAGGAGGGTTAGGGAAAGGCTCCATGTGACCCTCTTGGATGGGACTCCGCAGCTGCTCGAGGAGCCAAACTCTCTCACCAAACTCTGCGCCCCAGAGCATCCCCCTGCCAAGGGGTACCCCTCCTGCTCCCGTTGAAAAGCCGGCGTCCTCACAGCGCCGCGTCACTCTGCGGGCGGAGATACGCCTGTGCTCATCCTCCCGCCGCCTGCCGCTGTCACTCCGGCCCCCTTAAGTAGTTGGGGTTCCCGAGCGCTCGCACCCGGCGGCAGCGATGCAAACCAGCAGGGCTCCGGCCATCAGCGTCAGCGCGGAGAGCTGCATCCCGGCTGGGCTGCGCCTGGGTCCCGTGCCGGGCACCTTCAAACTGGGCAAGTACCTGTCAGACCGCAAGGAGCCAGGACCCAAAAAAAAGGTATTTTCCTACGGTCGCTCCTGCACCGCTGGACTTTGATTATTCGTTGACTCGGGGGAAGCCGGCTTTGGGAGAAGAGGCTGCTCTTCCCCCGTCTCTCTTCGATCCTCCCTTCTTAGAGAGAGCCAGGAAAGCAAAGGGAAGCATTTCCAGAACGTCCTGAGATGTCTCCCCGTGGTTTTGCCAGGAGAGCCTGCCCGCTCGTGCCCTCTCCCCCTCCTCCCCAGCGCCGGGGCCCCCAGCCCTGCCGACCTCCGGGGCGAGGCCAGAGGACACGGGGGCTCTCCCGGAGGAGTGGGCGCTCCCCCGCCTTGGACAGAGACGTGCTGGAAGCGTCGCCTGAGCTCCGTGCCCGATGTCGGAGGGCCCTGGTCCCGCCACCCAGCCCCCGCCCCCCGGGGCTCCGCTCACTGGGGCATTGCCCCTTTCCCTGGAGGAGCCGGGACATGCCACGGCCGGCTCCTCGCTCCTGGAGCCCCGGCGAGGCGAGGGCACAAGGCTGTCACAGCCCCCGGCTTTGGCCCGGGAAGGAGCAGGGCAGAGGCAAATGCACCGATTTATTTCTGTGTTTGGCTCGGGTTCGTGCCCCCCAATCCCTCTTCCCGGTCGCGAGTCCTTTGGCTCGGGCCTGAAGGGAGTGTGGGGCGAGAGGACGGACCGGGGCTACCCCGGAGACGGCGCCGGGGTGCAGGTCGCAGGTGTGGGGGCAGCCCAGGGCAGCTCGACCTTCCCCCAGAGCCTCGGGGGCTCTCCTGCCCTGGAGCCGCAATCAACCCGCAGAGCCGGAGCGGCAGCGATGTCGGCCCCACGGCTGCCGGCTCCGGGGTCCGTCCGTGTCCGAGCGAAGCAGCGAGGAGGAGGCGGCCAAGGGCTCTCGCCCTGTCCATCAGGCTCTTCAGGGGGCTGCGGATGAGACCCCTCCTTTCGCCCCCCGGGCAGCCGCGGCTCACGCGTTCCGCTCGGATTTTTAATGCACTTTAATTGTTTTTAAACGCTCTGCCAGCCCACTCAAATTTATTTCTCATCTGGCTCCCTTGGTTTCTCGCTTTAGACTGCTTTGTTCCGATGACTTTTATTGCACGGTCATTCAGGGAATGGGCACTTCATTTTCTCTTTGTATGGGCAAGCAGATTATGAAGTATGGGGCTACAGGGACTTTGTAGCTAAGCAGAATCTTCCCCCCTTTCCCCCTCCCTATCTCCCGACAAGTCCTGCATGTCGCAATGGTTTTGCACGGACTTAGAGACAAAAAGAAAAAGAAAATTAAAATCGTACCTGGGTATTTAATATAGCTTTAAGCGAAATGTAACAGCTGCAACTGGACAAGGTGCGTTTGGATCAATGCTGCCCAAGGGAAAGATCCCGTTTTCCCTCTCCGGGCCCGGGTTCTTCCATCCTTACGCTGCAGAGCTGCAACCCCCGCTAGGACAGGGCACCTGCGAGCCGGGGACCGTCCTACCCAAAGGTGGGTGAGGATGGAAGCGTTAAACAGGCGGCAAAAGGAGATGCTCTCGCCGCTGCTTTCAGCTGCGATGCTCAGCCCCCTGCCTAGTGTGGGGAAGCAGCTCGACGGGCCAGGCAGAGCGGGCAGGCAGGCCGGGGCACGGGTAAGCTTTTTGCTCTTTTTGTGTTTCGTCTCACGTGAAAATGACAGCAGTGCCGCCTGTTTTCCAGGTGCGGATGGTCAGAGGGGAATTAGTGGATGAAGCCGGGAGCTCGGCCCTGGAATGGATAGGGTTAATCCGAGCTGCCCGAAACTCCCAAGAGCAGACACTGGAGGCTGTTGCGGATCTGCCAGGAGGACAGGTACCCCGCTCGCGGCTCCGGGCTGGCATGGCGCCTCTCTCCGCCACCTGCCTGCCTCTCAAGCCTCCTGAAGAAGTTTCCTTTCTTCCCTCTCCAGATTTTCTACCGGGCGCTGCGAGATGTCCAGCCGGGAGAGGAGCTTACCGTCTGGTACTCCAACCCTCTGGCGCAGTGGTTTGACATCCCCGTCACGGCCACGCCAACGCACGACGAGAAAGGTACAGATGCGGGCACTCATTTCAGAGCAACCAAATTAAATGAAACAAAACAAACCCTCTTTAGCTGACACATTTGACGGGATCTCAAACTGCGGTAGGCAAACGTGGGCCCTCAGAAAAATAAATGCCAGTACAGCTGCCGTGAATTTAACCCACCACCCTTTAAACTAAGGCTCCATCTGCTTACATTTAAAGGGTGATCTATTAACTCGGTGGCGTATGGAAAGGCCCCCGTGCGTCGAGTTGTTCCGTCATCGGCCCGATTTAATGATTCTTTGATAGGCAAATGGGGTTTCTGTGAAACATCGCTATAGTTGGTATGCGAGACAGCAAATTGGCTCAGCTCAGCTTACCCGATGCTGTTTCTAAAAACATCGGGTTTACCTTCCGTTCTCAGAGTTTCAGAGACTCTTTTCAGGTTCTCTTGCGGGTAGATTCACATAGTAAAGCCAAAACTGGGCAGTACTGGGCAGTCCCTGTAAATTAGAATACATTAGGAAAAAGGTTAAGTCGGTGTCAAATCACCCTGAGATCAGGATATGCAAAGATGTTGGGAAGGGGAAGACATCCGTCTGGGACGGCTTGTTTCAATCCGCAAACCCATTCTTACTGGAGTTACACCGGTGTTAACAAAATGATAAGGTGGCAGCACATTCAAAAAAAGACCAGGGAAAAAGGACGGAACACTTCAGCGTTCACTTGTCGGGCTTCTCTGTCGGCGGCCACCCCCTTCGCTGGTGCCGGGTCCGGGCGCTCCCTGGGGCGTCGGTGGCGGCAGCTGCCTGTGGGCACTCCCCTCGGGCTGAGCCCGCTCCGCGGGAGATGAGGGAGCCCCAGGCGCTCCTGCTTGACGCAGAAGATCCTTCAGTGTCCTCGGGAAGGGAGCGAGTGCACGATCCGGGCAGGAGCTGCCCCCTCGCCCGTCGCGGCTGGCCGCTCCGCAAGGTGACCAGGGTCCGGCCCGAAGGGATGGCTGCGGGAAGGCCAGGCTCTGGCTGTTATATCACACCGTGCAAGAGCCCAAATCCCTCCTTGTACGAAAACTACACCCAGGAAAGAAACTCTTGGTCACATTTCTGTCCCCGCCACGTCGAAGGGCAGTGAGGCCATGGATCTGCCAAGGGTCGCTCCCTCGAAAAGCCTGGCAAAGTTTCGGTGGCAAGGAGGACACGCGGCTGTGTTGCGCCCCACTCCTCTCCAGCAGCCCTTGCTGCGGATGGGTACCAGTGCTACTCGGGGGAAAAATGAAAGAGAGCTCAGGTCTGCAAGAGGCTCCCAGAGTGCGGCATCTTCCTCGCCCCGTCGAAGCGAGGCTGATTTGCAAAGTGAACCTACGGATCTGCTGTGTCTTCGGTCCCACAGTTTCCAGACTGATTAATACAGACTCAGCAAAGCATGCTGAAGTGCTCTTCTTCTAATGATCATATGCTGAAAAAAAAGCCGAAAAATCAAACTAAACTCTCAAACCCCCACCAATCGAAAAATGACAGTGGAAGAAATTCGGAGAATTTTTTTTTTTTTCAAAAGCACAAAACGAAAAAACCTAACCAAATCAAAAATTTGGAATTCTTCTGTGTTTGACCCCTTTAATTTGGGTTACCGTGGTGAGAAAGAAGTGGTTTTTGGTGGGGAGGGTAGTTTTTTTTTTTTTTTTTTTTTTTGTTTTGTTTTGTTTTTTTTTTTTTTTTGTGTTTTGTTTGTTTGTTTTTTAATCTTTTCCCTGGAGCCGTTCTTGTTGAACGCTAGCTGAGCCGGGGAAGAGCCGAGCCGGCTCCGTGGCGGTCGGGAGCCAGTCCCGACCATCTTTTGCCGAGGAAACCAGGGCCGACCCGCGCCGCTCCGCTGAAGAGACTGAAGAGACCTGCATAGGCAAACGAAGATAGCGGAGGGGGGTCCGTGGGGTCCGTGGCCGTATTCCTTTCCATCCGTACCGCTCTTTTACCCCTTTTCCCGAGCACGGCAGTGGGTTGCCACCGTGGTTCCCCCTCCCATGGCCGCTGGCTCTCTGGGGCCCGGGCAGACACAGTCCCGTCTCTTCCCCTCCTCGACGGGGCGAAAAGGAGCTCCCAACGCCTTCACAATGCTGCAGATCCCGGGGCTGGCTCTCCACGGCTAGCGAGGAAAGGCTGCCCACGGCGGCGAGCACACACACAGCGAGATACACGCAACAGCGTGCGATGCTTCCACGCGAGTTGGCACACGAGCTTCCCGCGGAGAGCGAAGATTCCGTTTTCCATCCGCAGCGGATATCGACTGATCCCTGTCAAAAGCCGGTGACAGGGAGGCTGGTCACGGCCATCGCATCCACCCCGGCGACCCGCCCTCCCCGGGTGCCCCGACAGACGAGGGGCACGATGCAAGGTCTCACCCCTGTCCTCCCCCACGGGATTCCCTGAAACGTGAGGAGCTGCCCCCAGGCCTGGAGAGGGCTCTCATTTCCGTGCGGTGCTTGGGCTCACCTTAGGCGCATGAAACTGAGGGGCGAGGGTGAGCTGGGGACGGTCAGGGTGGGCAGGAGCCGAAAGGGAAATTCAAGGGCTTATCAGCATAGTATGGTGACTGGGAGAAACGAGAGAGAGAAAGATGGGACAGAAAACGAGAAGAAAAGAGGGGAAAGAATGAAGAGGGGAAGGAGAAAGGAAAGGGGAAAGTGGGGAAAGTGGGGAAAGTGGGGGAAAGTGGGGAAAGTGGGGAAGGAAGGAAGGAAGGAAGGAAGGAAGGAAGGAAGGAAGGAAGGAAGGAAGGAAGGAAGGAAGGAAGGAAGGAAGGAAGGAAGGAAGGAAGGAAGGAAGGAAGGAAGGAAGGAAGGAAGGAAGGAAGGAAGGAAGGAAGGAAGGAAGGAAGGAAGGAAGGAAGGAAGGAAGGAAGGAAGGAAGGAAGGAAGGAAGGAAGGAAGGAAGGAAGGAAGGAAGGAAGGAAGGAAGGAAGGAAGGAAGGAAGGAAGGAAGGAAGGAAGGAAGGAAGGAAGGAAGGAAGGAAAAGATTGCTAGACAGACAGGTGGCCACAGAGGCGGCGTTTCACCGTCGGGGCTGGGGATGTTCCTCCTTGGGAGTTCCCTCCTGGCAAGCAAGGCCAGGAGGGGGAAAGCGGAGTCTGAGCCTCTGCGGTGTCGGGCAGCCACCACAGCGGCGGCCACCGAGGTCTGTTCCGCTTGAGAGAAGTCGAAATGGGACGGGGTACAAAGGGCATTGTCCTCTGAAAGGGAACGATTACATATGGCCCATACATATCGGATATTGTCTCGCCGCGTAATGAGGGGCTCACGATCATTAGATTGGCCTTTGTTCGGTGCAGCCGACTCCCTGACATACGCTACCTCCTCTGCAAACGCCAACAGATGGGCCCTCCGACAGACGACTCGCGGCAGCAGCTGCTACCCCCGGCCCTACGGCGCCCCGCTCGCGGGAGCTCAGCCCGGACCGGGCAGCGCCCGCACGGCTCCGCTCCGCGGCACAGCATGGCGGGGGCGGGACGAGGCAGAGGGAGCGCGGGGATGCGCGGGGAGGCGCGGGGATGCGCGGCCGCCGCTGACGGGTCCCTCCGCTTGCCTCCGCAGGGGAGGAGAGGTACATCTGCTGGTACTGCTGGAGGACCTTCAAATACCCCAACAGCCTCAAGGCCCACGTCCACTTCCACTGCGCTCTGAGCCACGGCCGGCCCTTCCTTCATCACGACCACGGCCGGCCCGCTGCCACCGCCTTCGGCCTGCCCCCCAAGGAGCTGCCGGCCGCCTCGCTGCGCGGCCACCCGCCGCCCGGCTGCGGCCCTCGGGAGGCCGTCAAGCGGGAGGCCGTCGTCCCCTCCCCGCCGCTCGCCAAGCCGGCGCTGCCCAAGCGGGCTGCGGGCAAGGAGGAGCAGGAGCGCGCCCTGGACATGAGCGTGGGGGCCGCCCGCGGGCCGGGGCCGCTGCTGGGGCCGGCGGGCGGCAACGGGCTGGCGCTGTGCCCCGGGGCGCGCTCGGCCTTCCGCCCCGCCGGCTCGCTGCGGGAAGAAGCGCGGGGCGCCGCCGCCCTCGGCTTCTCCAAACTGCTGGGGGGATTGAAGGCGGGACGCGCCGCCGCCGAGGCGCCGCCGAAGTGCGGAGCGCTGCCGGGTGAGGCCACCCCGCAGGCGGCGGCGGCGGGGCTGGCTTGCGGCGGCGGGCTGCGCGCCTTCCCGCTGCTGTCGCCGCTGGAGGAGGCCTCGGCCTTCCGGCAGGTGGAGCGGGGGCTGCCCGCGGCCGCGCTGCCGCCCGCCCGCTACCCACCGCTGCCCGGCGGGGCCCTGGAGCGCTTCGCGCTGCCGCCCTTCGAGGGGCTGAAGGCGTACGCGGGGGAGTGCGGGCTGCCGGTGATGCCGCTCACCGTCTACAACGGGGAGCTGCTCTACGGGGCCGCGCCCTACTACCCGCTGAAGCTGCACCTCGGCGGCCTCCTGAAGTACCCCGAGTCGGTGTCGTACTTCGCGGGGCCGGCGGCGGGTCTGCACGCCGCAGAGCTGGGCTCGCTGGCCAGCATCGACCGGGAGATCGCCATGCACACGCAGCAGCTCTCCGAGCTGGCGGCCGAGAAAGGCCGAGGGAGGCTGGAGGCGCTGCCGGCGGGGGCGGCCGGGCCGGCCGGAGGGAAGCCCAAGACCGGGCACCTGTGCCTGTACTGCGGGAAGCTGTACTCCCGCAAGTACGGGCTGAAGATCCACATGAGGACTCACACCGGCTACAAGCCGCTCAAGTGCAAGGTCTGCCTGCGGCCCTTCGGGGACCCCAGCAACCTCAACAAACACATCCGCCTGCACGCCGAGGGCAACACGCCCTACCGCTGCGAGTACTGCGGCAAGGTGCTGGTGCGACGCCGCGACCTGGAGCGGCACGTCAAATCCCGGCACCCGGGGCAGAGCCTCGGCAAGGCGGCCGAGGACAAGAGTGACTCTGGCTATGCGCAGCCCGAGCAGGAGCAAAAGACTGACAACGAGAGCGATGTGGATGTCTGCTTCACCGACGACCAGAGCGACCCGGAGAGCGGCAGCCGGCACCGCGAGCAGTGATGCGGGAGGCGGCCGTGGCGGGGCGGGGGTGAGGGGAGCGCTGCAGGCCCCCTCCCACTACGCTGGGCTCCCGGGGCGGTCCCAGGCAGGGCCGTGTCGCGGAGGAGCGCGGGCTGGCGGGCAGAGCCGCCGGCGGGGCGGGCAGGGGTGCGCGGGCGTCCCCGGCTTCCCTCCACGGCATCGCCCCCGGCGCTGCAGCTGCGGTGCCGGGACAGGGGCGGGAGGGCGAAACCCTGGCGGGCCCGGGATCCCGCTGGGCAGGCACCGCATCCCGGTAGGAGCCCGCATTTCAGTGGCCATATATTTTTATTGTATCTTTGTGTCGAGAAAATTGTGCCTTTTGGAAATGATTTTTTTTTCTATGCGCTCTCCCATCACTTGCTCCTGCGGTCTGAGCCGTGGGGCTCAGCAGCAGACCCGGGTCTACAAGCGCCTCTGGCACCTGTACACTTTATTTGACATCTCACCTGTGCTTGCTCGGGTCCTAATAAAGCAATACCAACAGCTTTTTGGAATGACAGAAAAAAACAGGCAACAAAATGCCACTCTTGCAGCATGGAAGAGGTTCGCATAACAGGTGCACCATTTGATCAAGTTGCAATTATTTATAGCAGATAATATTTGAGTAACAAATGTAAAATAAATATTGAAAAGCATGACTCTAAAAGCACGCACTATATAATTTTAAAGGAAATACACTCTCTGTTTGGTAGAATACAAATGTGGTGTATGTTTGTTTTCTAATGAACGATGTACAGTGGATACAGTATTTTGGTCTTGGTTCCAGTTTGTCATGCGATTTTTTTAAAAAAGAAATAAAGTTACTGACAAACTACTGTTTGCCTAGTTGTTCGTTGAGGTGCTGTCAGCAGGATCTCGTGTTTCTTCACAATGCTTCTGAAGACTGGAAGCACAGACCCATTTATATACAGTGTCTTTGGGTCAAGCTCTTAACAATATGCCTCTGAATAATATGTCGCCTGAGCATTTTCCGTCTCTCAGCGAAACCAAAGGGCAAAAATCCCATATCCAATCTGTTCTTCTCTATGCCTAGGATTTTTGAATTTTTTTTTTTTTTTTCTATTTCGTTTTGCACAGGGCGAAGGCAGAGCTGTTAGAGGCTGGACATTATTAGTCTGTTTTTATCGGTTTGCACTCGGTCAAACGTGCCACTTTTGCAAACACTCTTCTTTAGAATCGTTGTTACTTTTATTTGAGGAAAAAAAATCTACTTATTCTTTGGTATGAAAAACCTGAAACGAGTTCAACTTAAAAAATAAAAGACTGTCAGAAAATTCTGTTTCTCCTGGCAGCTCCTCCAACTCACCAGGCAAAAGGATGCAACACTGCCGACAGTGACCCGCCAGCTGTGACCCGCCAGCTGTGCGGGTCTGCCCGCTCAGGTCCGAGCTGGGGCTTTCCTCCGTGTGCCCTCGGGCAGGCGGAGTCAGGAGGGAGCCCCGCTTTTTGGTTTGGCGTAGCTCACAACTCTGAAGCAGAGGGTAAATCTCTTTGACTGCTCGATACACTTAGAAGACTGTGAGGATCGAGCCCTATTTCAGTCCGGGGTGTAGGCGATGCAATATAAAATACAAACAAATTACTTTCAGTATCTGCGAGAATTTCAGACACAAAACTAATCCTTCGTTTGCTCACTTAAGGCTATCCCGTGCTTGACAGCAATAGGAAGCGGGAGTTCAAATGCCAATCTTCAATATTCCTTTAAAGGTTTGAGGCTGTAGCGTTGTTTGTCGGCTTTTTTTATTCCTTTTTTTTTTTCTTTTTGTTCCCTCCCCACCCCCCTTATTTGGGCCTGTGCACCCACTTGATTCATTTTATCCCAAGATGCAAGTTGTCCTTCTGACATGAAAATAAATGGAAACCCCCTTTCCTGCAAAGAGGGGGGCTTTTTTCATCTCTTGGCGGAGTTGAAAATCCTGTTGTCATTCATAGCACCGTCAGCAGGACCTGGAATATCTCCTGCCTGTTCTTTATTTCAATATATTTGTCTGCCGCTTTCCCAAAGGAAGGCACCCACCGTGGAGCTGCTGTCGGGGAGGGATGCACCATGTGTGCTGTCAGGTCGTGGAAAGGGTATAATAATTCAACTGTGATACGGGAAATATTTTAATGTCTGTAGAGTTTTTTACAGACATTTTTAATGTCTGTAGAAGTGTTCCATCAAATCGTAATACTTGGGCCACCCTCACAAAAAAAAAAAAAAAAGTACTCCAGAGAGTCAATTTGTGGGAATTAATGGTCTGTATATATAATAATCAGTCTTAGAGGTGAGAAAAAACCCCAAAACTGAACCAAATGTAACCAACCTCAAATAACCAAAGCCGAGGAAAAAAAAGAAGAAAGAGTATATGGTTTATCTGTTTTTGTTTTTTAATTTTTTTTTAATTGCTATGCAGCTGTTAAATCGAGATACAAAGTACAGGCGGAGACACATGGAGAAATTCTGCCCCATTCACATTTAGGGCCCCATTCCTGCGAAGTTCCTAGCGAAGCCTCACCCTCCGGCACGGGTCTGCGGGCGAGCCCCGGTGCCCGGCCCGGGGTGCAGCGGCCCGGGGTGCAGCGGCTCGGGGTGCAGGGCCCGGGGTGCAGGGCCCGGGGTGCAGGAGCCCGGGGTGCAGGGCCCGGGGTTCAGGGGCCCGGTGTGCAGGGGCCCGGTGTGCAGGGGCCCGAGGTGCAGGGGCCCGGGGTGCAGGTGCAGCGGCCCAGGGTGCAGAAGCCCGGGGTGCAGAAGCCCGGGGTGCAGCGGCCCGGGGTGCAGGGCCCGCCGGGAGCTTTCGCCGCCCCGAGCGGCCTCCGACCCGGCACGACTGCCCCTCGTGAGAAGCGCTGCCTGCTCGGCGTTATTGTTAATTACCATCCGCGTTAAACTCTATTTTATTAAATTTTACCACATTTTGGGTTGTTTTATTCAATTGTGATTTATTTTGTTTCATTGTCCCTGTCAGGCCAGGGATGAGGCGGCAACGTTCTCCCGAAACCTCAGTGACCAAGGCAGTGTCGGAAGCCCGGGGTGCAAGGGAAAGCAGCGTTTCAGGCGGGTCAGCAGCCGCAGTCCCGGGGCTCCGGCGGGCCCCTCGCTCCTCGGGACGGAGTTCACGGATCAGCGGGGGCAGATCTCCGGCTCCCGCTGCTCTCCCTCCCGCGGGGCGCGCTGAGGGTCCCGGCCGCCACCGCCGCCTCTCCCTCCCGCAGTCCCGGCCCGCGCTGCCAACGCGGGCGCTGATTGGCTGAGCCCCGCGGCGGCCCGCGCTCCTATTGGGCGGTCCGGGCGGCGCGGCCCCGCCCCGCGGCGGCGGTGCTGAGGGCGGTGCGGGCGCGGCGTCGGGAGCGGCTGCGGGAAGGGTCGGGATCGCCCGGGATCGCCCGGTGGCTGCGGGAAGTGAAGCGACCCCCGTGGGCTCGTGGGCTGCGGCCGGGCCGGTTGCAGCTCCTGGGCTCATTGAGTCATGTTGCCGGTCATGGCGGTTCTGCGTCCTTCGGTTTCCCGAGCAAATTTGGGTCTGGAGGGAGGTGAGCAAAGTTCAAGTCGCAGGGTCGGTGCGGAGCTGGTGCCAGCCAGCCTGGGCACCGTACCCGCTGGATTTTGTGTTCTTAGCGCCTCTAGGTCTACCATTGCTTCTCGCTGGCTACCATTTGAAGCTCGGGAAAAAAACCAAAACCCCACAGGTTTTACCTTCCGAATTTGTAATTATTGATAGCTACAGTAAAGCAGTTATGTCTCCGCAATTTTATAATAAAGGAGAAAATAATTAACCACATTTGCAGGAAAAAATGTGGGAAGTGTAGGCAGAAAGAATGGTGCTAAGACTGAAGAAAGTCTTAAAATATTACTCATTGAGATCCTTTTCAAGGGCCATAGACATTAAATGACAAGATTTCTCTATTTTATTTTCTATGGAAGGACTCAGGTTTTTTGAATCAAGTTGAACAGGAATAATGAAGGGTGCATTTTGTGAGTGAAGAATAGAACATTATTTGCTGGTTGGAAGTCAAGAGACAAGAAGAATAAATAAATTGAGATGGCTTTTGGACATTATTAGAAACTAGTCTAGGCATTTTGCAAACTGGTCTTTCAGTTTCCAAAGATTCACACTCAACCTCAGCTATTATTGCAAAAGCAATTGATTTCAGTAACATCCCATTTTTAAAATTTGGGAAGCAGTTTTGATGATTATTGTCTTGCCCTGCATTAGCTTCTTCTTAGAATCAGCATCAAGAAATCTGGATGCATCTGGCAGGGGATGCAAAGAATTGCCAAGAAGTAGATTGTAAGGATCTCGAAGGTAATTTTGGTTTTCAACCAAACTTGGTTTTGGCACAAAGCTCTGTCATGTATCTTACTAGTTAAGGCTGTAATTACTGTTGTATCCATTGCCTGAGGATGCACATGGGAGATGAATGGTGCCCTGAATGACCAAGCTGTAGGGCAGGGTCTCATGGACCAGGGATCTAAGTCTTACTCCTCTAAACTTGCTAAATGGGTTTGAACATAGCCTTGAGTTTATAGCTTTAAACAACTCCTAAAATTACCTGATTTTGCAAAGGTGTTGAACGCTTCTCTTCCCACTGAAGTTAGTGGGGCTGATTTAAAATCTGCTAGGGTCTTTGACATGTAGGTGAGATAGATGTAGTCTGCTGTAATGCAAGTGAGTTTAGATTTTGAACTGATTGATAGTACAAAACTCAGGGAGTACTTGATCACTTTAAACAAGGAAATGGCTCTATACACTTAGAGGAATATAGTTTCAAAGATTTTTGTTTTGAGCTCATATTTTAAATCACAGACATGCACACGTGATTTGATCAGAAAGCTCAGCTGTAGGTATGAAAACATGTGTGTTCTTAAGGGTCCCTTTCTATGGCTGCAACTCTGGTCTTGCAAATAAAGGATTTATTGATTCAGAAAAACCTATGGGTTTGTTTGGGTACATTCATGCTGAAGATATTTCTAGGGAATATTTTTTTTTTTTCACTAG